CCATTCACACATGAAATATGCCACTTGGACCGTGGAATTGTCTTTTTTTTTTTTTAGTGGAAAGAGGAGTATTATTGCAAAGTTGTTGTCTCGAGTGAATTAGTGGGAGAGATCAACAACGTATTTGCTGCCTCCATTTATATTGTTTTGTCATGAGTGTGAGCTTTTTTTGAGTTGCTTTTTTTTCCCCTTTGTGTCCAGGTCATCAAGCTATATATGTGCCAGCTTGTATATCCACCTCATTAGGTTAACAGTGTTAGTGCCATCTCAGATGAAGTTAACGGTGTAAAGGTATCAGGGACCAACGTTTTGTAACGACCAAAGTTTTAGCGACCAATACCATGGATTTGAAATTTCAAGGATCAATACCAAAATTGACTTAAATTGAAGGGACTAAAATTTGTATTAATCCATTCATAAATTTTAAATTTTATTACAATCTAGACTGCATGGTGATCAATATTACTGACACAAGAAAAGAAAGTGAGAAACTCCTGTGCACTATTGTCAAACTCGCGAGTTGACTCTCTGAGTTTGATGTTTTTACGTTTTTAGTTAACAAAATTGTGTCAACTTGCTTTTAAACTCGTGCTAAATTTTGTAATTTAATTATATTTAGTGACTTTATATATGAATTTTATAAAAATTTCTTTGTTGAATATGATAAATTATAAACATTGATAGATATAATTTTAATTATTTAAATTTAAAATATATTTAAATAAAATTGTTCTCATTTTTTATATATTAGTTATTTGATTATATATTTTTAATACTAATTTATTAATAAAAGTAAACTCTTACAAGTTCATGATCTGAGTCTGCGATCCAAGTTTACATCATTAACACGAGTTTGTTTAAACTCGTGAGTTTAACAACCTTACTCCCGTGACCGGAAAAGGAAATAAAATAATAGGAGATGGCCGGAAGATTTTACAGGGCGTCTACTGTTTTTTGAAAATATCATGATATATTTTTGGAAAATTGAAAAAAATTTCTCATTAAAAAATTATTTGTGAAAAATGTCTAATAAAGTTCTAGTAGTATCTTACACGTACTTTGATTTAGGTCAAATTATATGGCAAAAAAAGTCAGCCTCAAAATTATTATTCGTCCTGCTTTCATTTTTTTAATACTTTCTTACCACTTGTTTATGTAAAAATTTTGGCGTTCCTGCATTTAAATTCAAAATAAAATGACGTGATTTCTTCATTCAAAAAAACATCTATCTTCGAAGGGTGTCCCAAATGGACCAGTCCCATCCGCATTAAACCGGCATCTTGAAATGGGCCAACCCACTCCTCCAAACAAGCAAACATTGATAACCTTTTAAAAGAGGGGTTGGGGTAGTTGAATGTTTCTATCGTTGTTTTGAGTAGCTTCTTTTGAACGTGTAATTGTTCTTGCAAATAATTAAAAAATAAATAAATCTACAAGGGCAAGTATTTCACTTAATTATAAATATAAGATTGTTATAACTAGTTCGTAAAATTTTTAAAATATTTAAGATGGTTATTTATAATTAATATCTGGAGATTTTGCAATTTTTTTGTTGAAAGTATCCGTTAATGAGTAGAAATAAAAATGTCCAAATAAGTAAAAATATTATAAAAAAGAAACAATTAAAATGTCCAAAAAAATAAAAATATTATAAAAAAAACAATTAATGTGTGACACATTAAAATTTAAACATTATATTTACGGACTTTCATATTAGGTGCAGTGAGCATATAAATTCTCGTGTCACCTAAAAATAAGCAGTCTAGGCTCTAAAATGTTCAAATGTATTTTCCCTGAAATTCCAGTATTGTACCAGTCACGGTTGGACAATCAATCCACCGGACCAGTTTCAATATTCACTGTAGTACTCCTCCGGTCCTTAATATAAGACCTATTTAACTAATTTTATTAGATTAAGGAAGTTAGGTAAGTTAGTTAATTATAAGAAAAGTGACACATTTTTCCTAAAACACCATAATCATCTTTCTTAATACCCCTCTTCCTCTTCTACTTGATTATGGTTGAGAGAGTATCCATAGGGGTAATTTAGAGAAAATTAATAAATATGAGAAATGGGTTTTATATTTAGGACCAAAACCAACTCAAGAATTGAGTCCTATATTAAGGACCGGAGGAGTAATATTTATCAAATCTCAACTGTTCAAATTGAAAATGGATAGCTAAGATTTAACTTTTTATATTTTTATTTTTTAAAATATTTTTCTTTAATATATAGATAATCCAAAATAAATATAATCTTTTAACTGTAAGTTTTCTTAAAAATATTTTTTATTTAAAAATCAGTAGTGAAAAATTTAAATCTACACCATTAAAGTATATATATATATATATATACTTTTCTGGAGAAGTGTTACACTGTAAAGTAGGTTTTATATTTAGGATTAGAAGAGGGGGTTGAAGACTGGAATGATGAATAGCATGGCGTTCACACAGAAACTGGTCCCCAGTCCACTGTGGATCACTGAGATTCCGGTCCCAATACATCCGATCCAAGTCAGCAAAATGTGGTCCCATTCAAATTCTTAAAAAACCTCAAATACTTTCAATTCAAAAGAGGGGGAAAAAAAAGACCTCACATAGTTGAGGCAGCATTTGGCCCTTTTGAAACAGCTTATGAGTATCTTATAGGTAATTTTTTAATAATAATTTACAAAATATGAAACAAATATGCAAAAAGAATTTTGTTTCGGTTTACGTAAAATGTGTTTATAGGAAATTTTTATTATGATTCCAAGCAGGCACGTTATCTTCTGCCTCCCCATGATCACGTTTTGAAACTGTAAATCCTTGGAGGAAGGAGTGTGCAGTAGTGGTGTTGTTGCTGTTACAAGCTGTAATTTTAACGCTGCACACAGATATGGGGAGCCGAAGGAATTACTTAACGTGAATGCTCATCTTAAAAAGTGGTTTGTGGAAACCGTACTACTGATCCATTGCATGAAATGAAACCCGTGCAGAGGAAAAAGCGGCAATGCACAAGAACGAAAAGACAAGAAATCAAGTCTCGTAATGTTTTGTTAGAGCTGCCCAACCGAATGCATGTATGGGCGCACGAGCAATGAACAATCTGCCTTTCATCTGATATTTGAATATTTCTTTAATTATGAGGTTTAACCAAACGCGGATTCCACTTCCAACCCGCCAAACGGGGCATTAAGTTCACGCGAAAAGGGAAACATGGCTGTTATTGAACTTTACCTGCAGATTTCACGCTGATTTCTTACGGTCAAATATTCAATAGCTCTAACACTGAAACTTTTAGCATGCGCTAGTAGTGTTGTGGAAACCTCGTCCCTTTTAATGTACGATCCTAGCTTTGACATGCATGATTTCCCACTTCCTTTATATGGCGTGGGGTTTGCAGTTTCTCGAACATCATACTCAGGGTGCCATCGAAATTATTACTACTTCTTATTGCAGTGACAAAATGATATGGTCCTTTTTTGCATTCCTTCAGGGCAGAGTCTTCTAATTAACTATTTTGCCTGTGGGCTCTCAGTTCTGCCAAGCAATCCCCGCCGTGAACGTTATCAGTGGTGTGCGGCCAACCTGCCTTGATTTAATTTCTTTGTATGTCATGATTGGCCGAACCAACTCGATGTTGGGTACTGAACGGCGCAAAAAGAAAAGACGCTGGAAGAGGGGAAGTTGAATAGGTATTGAGCAATCTAACCAATTGCAATGTCACACCACGGCTTTGCAGAGTGTGTTGTGCTGGTAGGACGCACTATCAGGCACACCCACACAAACCTTTTAGTCCACTAGTTAGATAATGAATGGATGGCTCTGATTAATGAAGATACCAAACGAAATTACAAGCCTATGAGACTATTGGATCGCTTGGAGATGACGAACTTTCTTGATCACTGATCTCACTTTCTGCTGCAATCTCTGATCCTTGTTCGAAGTCGTCTATAACTTCTCTTGCATGGCGATCCCCCTCCCCCCCAAAACCAAGCTCTCTCTCTCTCATGTCAAAAGCACTTTTTATAATGGATCGGTACCAAAACCTCGTTTCAGATGCTGACATCCCAAGTTAACGCAATGAAAAACTCATAGCCGGCAAGCGAAGAAAGAATCACGTCTATTTCACTGCTCTTTTTTGTCATCACTTGTCTGTCTTCTTATCAATGCAAAGGATGACATATATAATCGCCTTCGAGGGTATGATTGACAACGAGAGACAGGGAGGAAAAACCTAATTTCTCCTAGCCATGGCTCCTTGTTTCGGGTTTTTAGTCCTAATCACGGGAACAACTACTTCAAACTTTTATACGGAAATAGTGTTGTTCGTTTATCTCGATTTCTGGATTCCACAGTTCGTACCTCCTACCGGCATTTTGCGTCCGTACATGTTAGTGGCAGTTTCCTCGTAGGTTTTTCTTGCTGGCTAGATTAGTTTTCCTGTAGTTGAAAAGATAAAATGGTGAGCGGGCATCGCTTAAATGGTTGAGTGAAGTTGACCCACAAAGTTATTGTCACGCTCGCTTTAGGAACAATGGCCCTACCAAGCAGTAATGAAAGAAGAGGTCCGCAGATCAGTGATGACTGTTACCCCAATCCAAATTACTCAGACGCCTCAATTAATTAGACGTGAATTCGAGGTGCCTAATTTCTGTATTTTATATTTCACTCTGTCGGTTGCAGTTTACATCTGGAAAGTAAGACTGCTTCTAGATCTACGGGCGCAAAGAAAGCGACACAGGGGCACCAGAAAAAGCGGGCAAAAAACAAACAGAAGCTCTAACTTCACTTCCCAAAAGAGAACTTTTCCTAAAGATCATCGTAAGAAATAAAGCCTATTGAGAAAGGAAGATGGCATAAAGATCAAATGGTGTGTTCGTAAACGCTTGCTTCTTTGGAAAGAAATTTAAGCTAGACACGACAAGGATCATATGAATCACAGCAGAAAGCAACAATAGGGCCTTGTCACCGGCTCCTAGCATGGTATATCAACAAAACAATAGCATTGGTTTTTTTTAATCCTTTTGCGAAATCCATCCATCATCCACGTACGGTAGAAACCCGCAGTCAATAATGCACCAACTAAATTGACTTTACGATACCTAAAATCAACGAGTACTGCTGCTAACTTCATGATCCCTCATTAAAAATAAATATTACACCTGCCCCCTGCTACAGGCGCTCACTTTCAATCCCCCAGTCACGTTGGCGCCCCCGTGTTCGGCTACCATTTCCGCTGCGACCGCTCATTAACCACCATGGTTAAGCCTTAGCTGCCAACTCCTAAGCATTCTTGCTGCAACTTTGAGGCCGAAATCCAAGCCTGTTATTTTCCAAGTCATATTCCACATGGAAATCCTGCTGCTGATAATTACCCAGAATGATCGCCGGCCCGGCCGCCACTGCCGGACCGACCCCATTGTCTGAGACAATGGTCAAGCATGCGGCACCCGACTTACCAACCAGCGAGAAGTAATTGCTCAAAGGCAGTACCATTTTGGCACCCCCTTTGAATTGAAAAGTTAATTCCGGGAAATATGCTGATTTCTTGCTGGAAATAACGTAACACGGAGTCAGACCAGATTGGGCTTCTACGTCCCTGGCTCTGCTATAGTTACCCATTTGCCTCCCGAACTCTTGCGCCACTAAATCAAAAACAGGCTTTTCCATGAATGTGAAGGTCGAGCCAGAGTCCACTATGCAGCCTCCATTGCCTTGGGAATCTGGCTGCAGCATTTTGTGAGGAATTTTGACTTGCTTGCCACCCACGATGACTTTTCGAAGGCTTATATAGTAATACTGACGGAACGCTGAATTATTCGCTGACGGGTTAGACTGAAACGGTGCATAGCTAAAGCCGTTAGTCTTGGCCTTGGAGGATGCACTGTGCAAGATTAGTTCACTGCTTTTTGAGGAGTCGTCAAACCTGTGAGGTAGTAAACAGTATGAGAACCGGGTCAGACCCATCTGGGAGGGCAGGGACTCCGGTCCGCGACCGAACCCGGCGATCCCAGCGGGTTGCCGAGTTGACAAGATGGAACACCCGACAAGAAAATCGGGTACAATTTTTCCGGGGAAGTCCAGATTTTCTAAGAGTAAGAAGCCAGCCGTTGAGCCCAAACCATATTGAATTATGTAAGCAGGGCATATCTGCGAGCAATTTCGGCCATTGGGTTTGCAGTCTTGGCATCGAGCCTGAACATCAGAGCCGAATATCCAACTACATTTTGGGTTTTGGCAACCAACGATCTTAGAAGAGGATGAATTCTTGGGAATGAACTTGGGGATTTTGGTCAGGTCGATTTTAGGGAAGGAACATTTGGAGCAGAGATAGCGAGAAGTGCAGGGGAGCCAGACCAAGCTGCTTCCGGTGTCCAGGACGAAGGGAAATGTTTGGGGCGGCGTTCCAAAATTAAGATGAATGGAGTAGCCACCGTAGCTCCTGGGATAAGCTTGCGTTTTAACGAGGGGAGGTTTGGAATTGGAGTTGCGGTGCTTGAGGTGGTGAGCTCTGTTTCGAGTAGCGGAGGAGACTACTTTGAGGTTCTCAAATTCATCCGAAGACGGCTGCGTGGTGGGCAGAGGAGAGAGAGAGATGGTAATGGTGTTAGGTGTAGATGATGAAGATGAAGAGAAGGGGATGACAAAGAAAAGACAGAGAAAACAGAGAATGTGGGTAGAGGCCATTGAAGACCTTGCTCAGTGATGAAGAATGAGAATTGCTGTGCTGAGTTTTGGCCGGGCTTCCTCATTTATTTAGTACCTATCCTTTTTTTTTTTTTTGGAAGCAAAATAGAAATGATAGTTTGCCGTTTTGATGCACAGAAAGCAGGCGTGATAGTCAGAGAGAGAGAAAAGGTGGGGGATACGTGGCTCTTGCTGATCACATGAGAGCACTTGAAATAGCTGTTGCGTGGCAATAGTACGTGTGAGTTGATACGTCCTCGTCGTCCTGTAACGTAAATTTTGGGCCTTTTCTCCATTTTGGTTGCGACTTGCATGTCAATCCTGATAGGTTAATCCTTTAATTTCATTTTTGAACCTGGATTTTATTCTGGTTTTAAACAACTGGGATATTTATTTTTATTCGGGGGTATCCTGCCCCACTTTCCATCCCATTGGTTTGCAGCGTGCCTGCTGGTGCTGGATCATTGCCTGTACTTAGTCTGTCGTGTTTGGGCGGCACAGTTGTAAACCCAAGCTTCCACCAACGATTTCCACCGAATCCATTTTAACTTGGTTCTTTTTAAATGTTTGTGTTGTACTCTATGTTGGGCGCGCTTACGGATTGATGCGTGGTTTGACATCATAAATGTGAAAGGGGCAAAAGGTACGGCAATGAAAAATAAATCGATATCACGTTCAGGTGTTAATTGCAATGATTACGAATTGAACACGTTTTTTTTGGGGGGGGGGTATTCAGAATAGATGCAATGTGTAACCCGCAAATGCCAACTCGCCTACCCGTCTCATTGACTCGTTGTCGCCCGCCTCGTTGGTAACGGTATAGTTTGACAAAACTGGAAATGTCAAGTTATGAAACAGTGTACCGTATTGATAACTGATAAAGTACAACGTTTAGATGGACCCAAAAAATAAAAAGAAAAGAACACATTTCATCGGGAATACACATACAACGTACGGGAAGGAAATAAGTTTTTTTCTGAGGAGTATCAATATAACTAACGTTCTCTTGATTCATAACTGTAATCTTTCTTTTATTATATTTTGAAATAAACATGTAAGAGTTTCTTATTATGGCAGTAAATTTTCAAATATTTTCCAAATTTTATATGTCGAGCAAGTGTGACTAAATTAAAGCCGAGCCTATGATAACGAGCGGGAGCACTATCCATTGCCATCGTCGGTTGCAGTCGCAGAGGCCCTAAAGTGTAATGGACCAATATTTATAGAAAGCAACCAGAATAGACAAGTTTACATGTTAGTTCAAAAGAAAAATGTTGATGTTGCTCATTTTCTGAGCCATGGAATATTCAAAGGGGCCGACCATAACAGGCCCTGATATTTGACTTGGGCACAGGGTCTTTTGAGGGCACCCATTCCCAATTATGGATCAAGTTCAAGCCCAATACTCTCTTGATCCAATACGTTGTATGCTAACAGCTATCAAGTTCCCAGAACACGATTCACTTCATACTTATTAACGGGAATTATTGTATTAAAAAAAAAGAGGGGAATTATGTACATGTTATTGTTTTTATTATATTACCGGATGGACGATATGCACACGGGAGCATGGCAGCTAATTCACGCAAGTTTTATTTATTAAAATTAAAATTACCTTTAAAAAAAAATGTGTTCGCCGAGTGCCAAAAAATGACTTAGACCAAACTAAATAATCATCCTTATCGATATTTTTATGAAAATTTGTAGGGCCACATTTTATGCAGGACCTCGAATAAATTATATTATTCCTTATTTACAAATAGCATTGGCTTTATATATTACTCTATATTAATTTTCTATTACGCACACGGATGGATGTGCACAGTATGGATTGAAAATGATATGATCGTGAAATAATGAATTTATGGTACAGAAGGTTTATTTCATAAGTGGGATACATTGCCACGTGGAATGGAACAGGGAAATCAAATAGTATTGAGCAGAAAATATGATTTAGGGGTATTTGATAACTTTTAAAATTACTCGCCAGAAACATTTTTTTAAAAAACGGGACAAACTCCTTCGTATATTTATTTTATGAATTATAAAAATATTTTTAAAATTATAATTTGATTTTTATCCAGATGCCTCGTCAGTGAAAAGCCAGGACTGAGAAATCGGGGGAATAGATGATGCCGACGGGAGAGAACCCGGGGGGTACAACTAATGTGAAACTAAAATACAAAAGAAAGAGAGGAGAGAGAAAGAGGAACGTGTAGACGACGATCACTTGCCATAGAAACTAAAAAGGCGTGAGTTTAATTTGACTTGTAATTTTTGGACATTAAAGAAAAAGAATGGAGGGAAAGAGGGCCGTATAAGAGCCAAAGAGGCGGGGCAAAGATGGCATGAAGATGAAGGTGAGAGCGAGAGGGGTGTTGAATTCTGAGAACATAGCCGCAGAGACAGCACAGCCCACCCAACGTCACTTCAATTCCTGCCAGTGTTGGTTCTTTCGTGCACGTGTGCCACCGACGATACTGTCCCACCCTATCGCCTCCCATCAACAGCAGTGTCTTTTGCCCCCCTTCCCACTCCCAATTTTCCACGTGTTTTTTAATTTCTTTTTCTTTCATTATCATTATTTCCTTTTTTCTAAAATTGATCTTAAATATGAATTATTTATAGTATTTTTTAATTTTTACAGTTATTTAATTTTATTTGAAAAAAAGGAAGAAGGAAAAGATATTATTAATAAGAATAATTTGTAAATATTAATAGAAAAAAGACTTAGAGATAATTAGAAAATTTTATTAATTTAATGTGTCTATTAATGTGCAAAAATATGTAACAATGATTTATATTAAGCAGCAAATTCATATTTTTCCACGGGGGATCATTCAACATCTTACTGACCAGGCAGATTAGTAATTTCGTTTTTTTTGTACTGGATTAGTCCCACTATTGCAAAATATTCTTGAAATCATGTATGGCGTCTTAAATATTAAATTATACTAATTACAATTAAAATAATGCGAGTGTTTCTATTTCAAAATTTTAGAAGTGCATTTAATTACTACGAAAAATTTACTTTTTTGCCAGTTTATACCTTTTAAAGGGCAAAAATTTTAAAAATTATTTTGAGTGATGACTTAATCGTTGTTTTAGCTCTGCAAGATTGTGATAGGTGCTTGATACTATCTTCGGTCTTAATTATAAAAACTAGTTAATTAATTTGAGGAGATTAAAAAAAAAGTTGAGTTAGTTATTGTAATAAATATGTATTGTCTTTTTAAAATATCTTTGCTAATCCAGCATATGGATAGAACTATCATTATTAAAGGATTACCTAAAAAAAGTATAAATATGATAAATAAAATAGATTGAGATTTTATATTTAAGATAAAAATAAAAATAAAATAAAATTTTATATTTAGAACAGAAAAAAGTATAAAGGAAAACAGAGTGTCCGGAGGAGAAAGAATCATTTCACTAGAGTTAAAAAATAATGTGAATTGTTTAAAATTAATTGGGTCACAAAATTTCTTCAGGAAGGAGTCCTGCTTCAACAGTGGTGCTGTAAGTAATAGAGCATGCGGCGGAGGTTTTATAGTGGAGACGAAAATACAAATTAAAAAAATTAAAAAAGACGGGCACGGGATTGATGGGGTTGATGCCACATGTAGGGAGGGTAGTGTAGTGGCAGGGGGAGGAGGATGATGATGATGCTGTCTCTTCTCTCCTCTTCTCATCATAATAAATGCCGTCCTGCGCTCCATTCTCCCTCTTCTAATAATTATCCCTACCCCTACTTCCATTCCCCTTTCTTCCCTATCCAACCGTCACCCCAGACTCATATCACCACTGCCCTCATCAGTCTAGCTACAAGCCGGGACCAAGGGTTATGATGTAATTTTCTATTTTATTTTTAACGGCTCATATTACTTTTTATTTAAATAACAATAACTAAGTGAGTACTATATTTGCAGTAATATGGAGCAATTTTTCAACAAAAAAAAAATCCTCAATAAACGGATGACATGTTTGGGAGGCGAAGGAAAGAAAGAGGGGAAATGATGGATGGGAGGACGGTGTCATTGTGAGTCCCGAGGAGAAAAAAGAAGGAGAATTAAAAAGAGGGCAGCACCAAATACCAATCAATCCAAATCAACAAAAAACTGTAATCATTACTGTGTCTCTGCAAACACCCAGAAATGATGGATCCCCCATCTCCTTCCATTATTCTTCAACTCCCAGCTTTTCACACTTTCCTATGCCCTCTCTTTCTCTCCTCCCTGTCTCACAAATCACATCTCCCCCAACCAAAAAATTTTATGGTGCATTCACTAAAAAAAAACAACAACAAAAAAATCTCTTTTCAAGTTACTCGTAAGTCGCAGAGAAATTACTCACAAGTCATTTCTCTCCTTCTGTTTTTTTTTTTGAAAACAAAAAGGCTTCCATAAACACCGTTCGTTTGATTTCTTGAATTTCTTTGCCAGAATTTGATTTCTTGAATTAAGTGTGAAATTTAACATTTATATAAATTTGTTAAAAGGGCGAGATTTATGAGGTCATTTATTTATTATACGTAGATGACATTATATAAACTTACAGAATACATAGACTACAAAATTTGTATTCATAATTTATTGTAAAAATATTCTCCACTGATATAATTGATATTAATATGTATTCTTGAAGTTTTAATATTATACGAAAATAATGAAAACTCACAAAATTTGTTCGCTTATCCCCTATCAGTCCCAATATGTGGCATATAACGATTAAATTTAAACATAAATTGAAGCTTCTCCCGCGACTGTTCGACGGAGACGATAAGCCGATAACAACTGTTATTTGGGGGTAAAAAAATCCCTCGTCAGAGATGGTTGTTACTTTTGCTGATGTTGTTGCTATTTAAATTTTTAAATAAAAAGAAGATTTAAAGAAAGATCCATGCCCATCATGCCCAGTGCATGTATATGTCTATGCAAATCAAATCTGTAAAACAACATACCATTCATAATTTTTCAAAAAATGACGCGCCTCTGAAATTCATGCAGGATGGGATATATCCACATTCTAATTTAAAACTGTTTGGGGAAAAAGAGATAAAGAGGGGCAGGGGGAGAAGAA